GCCCCCAGCCACATAGACTCATCTCTCTTGACCTCCTTACTCCTCATCTGGGAGGTAGGTTCTCAAGTTCCCCTCCTCCCTACTCAGTCTCCTTTTCACACACACAAAAAACTTTGTATATTACCAAATGAAGGTGCAGAGACAAAAGAAGAGGGAAAAAGGAGAGTCATTCATTTATTCATTGATTCATCCACAAATATTTCTCCTGGTTTCAGAGCCTAGCATGATAGTGAGTACTGTGGGCAAGAGCTGGGAGGGGACTCCAGCTTAGTGCTAGAGGCTCAGTAAGTATTATTTTAATGAGTGAATGAATTAATATAAATGGGGAAAAAAGTGCTAGGCCCTGACCTCAAACATTTTTCAATTTAATAGGACAGGCACACCCCACAAGCTCCAAGTCAACAGAGAGACCAGATGCACCTGTGGCCTCTCAACTTCTTGGAGACTCAGGGGCATGCAGACCTGGCTTTTGTCCTCACCAAGAAGGGACAATCATTTACCTGCTTGTGTCATACTGTTAGTGCTTCTCTAAGCCAGTTCTGGACAGCCTAAGTATGGGTCCCAGGGTAGGAGCTGAGCTAGCGCTGGGAGGTAGTCAGACATAGCCAGAGTCTACCCTTAATGGGGCTTTCTGCCAGCACAGGGGCCTTTGGGTCCTGAAACAAAAGTTCTGTCCTTGTAGTTGCTTCCTGTCCTCCACCCCCATCCTATCTTGCAGCAGGAGTTGGACCAGCTGCTCAAGAGTTGAAATCCAAACCCAGCCATTGTTCCTACCTTTTGACTCTGTGTGTGTGTATATATGTGTGTGTGTGTGTGTGTGTGTGTGTGTGTGTTTATGTTGGCAGGACCAACTGTGTGCCTCATGCTCTTGTGCCAAGTCTCAGGCCCTGGATACCATGCTTGAAGAACCTGGAAATACCTGCTCAAGGAAAGGACTAGGGTGGCTACTGATTGGGGAAGTTGAGGTGAGTTGAGAAATGGTAGATGAAAAGGCTGTGTCCACTAGTGAGTTGAGTGTGTAGTGACATAGCTTCCTTCTGAAATGTCAAAAGAGGCAACAGGTCCATTTGGACCTGTGAGCATGTGTAGACAGATATGCCAAGACCTAGAAAAATAAGAGATTCACCCATATCCAGAACCATTAATATAAAGCAAAACTTTATCAAATGTTCACGTTTGTGAAGCCCCTCCCACCTGGGACTACCCAAAGTTGATGAGAGGGAGCTGAGGCAGCAAAGGCACAGGTCTCTCTTGCTCCAGCCCTTCTAGTAGCTGCTAAAGGAGGTTTACTTGAAGCTTCTGGACCTGGGTCTCCTATTCTAACCTTTCATGTATATATAATTGCTTAGTCTATGGGACATTACATACTTTCAAGGCCAAGTCTAAGGCACTGACCTGGAATGGAGAGAAGGAAGCCCTTCTGATACAGCAGAGAGAGGAACCATAGAACYACCCACCTCTAAGGGCTTTTTTATTCTATCTCTAGAATTTTTTCCCAAACTATAATTCTGTACCCATTAAACACTAAATCTTCATTCACCTTCCTCCAGCCCCTGGCAACCAGCATTCTGTTTCTATGTCTGAATTTGACTGTTGTTCTAGGTACCTAAAATAAGTATGATTGCCAGGTGCAGTGGCACAAGTCTGTAATCCAGCTACTGCAGAGGCTGAGGCAGGAGGATCACAAGTTTGAGGCCAATCTTGACAATTTAGCAAGACCCTGCCTCAAAATAAAAAATAAAAAAGGACTAGGGGAATGTATCTCAGTGATGATATGGTGCCACTGGGTTTAATTCCTAGTACTACAAAAAAAAAGAGAAGACATTACATATAATAAAAGCTCATCTACCAGAGTGGCAGCTGTGAACATCTATTAATAGAAGAATGAGGAAATGTGTATACTTTAAATCTAGGAAAGTAGACTAAGTTATCACCTCTTGAAGTTTTGAAATCATCTTCATAACAACCATGAATACAGGTTCAGTAGCTCTAATCCTGGCTTCAAATGATTATGTCTCTTGCAACCAAAATATCTGAGTTTGTGGTCTTATTTTCTTTATTTTTCATTTTTAAAATTTTTTATTTTTAAACTTTAAAAAATCAGTTAATTTTTTAAAATTTTTTATTTATTTTTATTTTTTTAAAGAGAGAGAGAGAGAGAGAGAATATTTTAATATTTATTTTTCAGTTTTCGGTGGACACAACATCTTTGTTTGTATGTGGTGCTGAGGATTGAACCCAGGCCACAAGCATGCCAGGCGAGCACACTACCGCTTGAGCCACATCTCCATCCCTCAGTTAATTTTTTAAAAAAGTTCATTCTTATAATGACTGTCACATTTTGAGAGTACTTAATAGGAAGTTTCTGGGGAAAAGATGTAAAGATGTATATAATTGAGAATGTTTTTTTTTTGGCTTTTTTTTTTTGTGGTGCTGGGGGTTGAAGTTAGGACCTTGTGCATACTAACTAAGCACGTCCTCTACTATGGAACTACACCTCCAGCTCCTGAGAACCTTAATTTTAAACTCTACAAGAACTCATGTGATTGGTTTATTTAGTGTAATTTTAATAATTTTCTTTTTGAGATAAGATCTTACTAAATTGATCAAGCTGATCTCAAACTTCTAGGCTAAAGTGATCCTTCTGCCTCAGTCTCCTGAGTAGCTAGGACTACAGGCATGAGCGAGCACACCCTGTTTAAGTTAATTTTTAAAAAGATATATGGGATAGGAAAACATGGATGGGATGGGGAATAAAGATGGGATAGTCTATCCTTGGGGGATCTGAGTTCCTCTGCTGAGGTTTTATTTGTATGTGTTGATGAGGGAAGATCCTTGAAAACAGCTCTACCAGGAGACAGACCTAGTTCCCATCCCTAGTCTAAGGGAAATGGGATACCTCTGTGCTCTGAAATGTTGATGAGCTGCAGAGGGGAGAGGGACAGGAGGAGCAGATGGAATTCCTGGGCAATTGTTCCGGCTGTCACTGGAGAGGACAGGCAGGAGGGAGCACTAGATAATTTATGGAGGAACAGATGCAAACACTACACCGGAACCATCTGGTCAAGAGAGGCCTGGGCTTGGGGTGGATATTGTTGTTAGTTCTGAGTAAACTCCTCTGCCACCAGCCCTCCCCCTTTCTTCTACCTGGCTTGGTTGCTGTCCTGAGGCATTCCCAGRAACTCTGCTCCCTGAGGACTGAGGTCCAGAATTCCACCTGGTTCACATCTTCTCATCTCACATTCTCTTTTGTTAAACTTGGGGCCTGTCTTTGTTACCATTCCTGCTAGGGCCAAATACTGCTTTACCCATTCCTGCTAGGGCCAAGTACTGCTTTAGAAGCCAGTTTACTTTTATCTATGCATTTCTTTATTTTATAGTATTTTCAACCCTTCCTCCCACCACTATGTACTAAAATCTTTCAATCACCCACTTCCAAGCCATTTATTCATTCAATAAATATTTATTGAGTACCTAATATGCCAGGCATTGTTTTGGATACTGGGGATATGGTAAGACAAAATTTCAGACCTCTGGAATTTGTATTGTATTGGAAAAGATGGTCCACAAAGAAATATTTAATATGATGTTAGGTTATAAYTGCTATGAAAGCAAACATTAAAGCAGGGTAAGGGAGAATGTCTGGGTATGTTGACTTAGAGTGAGTGGCCAGGGAAGGCTTCTCTGAGGTGGTGACATTTGAGCAGAGACATAGATGGGAGTGAATACCTAGAGCAAGAACATTCCAGTCACAGGGAAAGGCAACCTAAAAGACTCTTGAGGCAGAGATATGCTTAGTGCACCAGCGGAAAAGTGTGCTATTTATTCATTAAGCATTTATTGTGTGCCAGGCACTTGCTATGGAATACGAGGACATAGTTTTTTTTTTTTAATATATGTTTTTTTTAGTTGTAGGTGGATATAATACCTTAATTTTATTTTTTTTCATTGGTGCTGAGGATTGAACTCAGTTCCTCCGGCTTGCTAGGCAAGCGCTCTAACACTGAGCCCCAACCCCCAGCCACCCTCGCCCCCAGACATAGTTTTTGCCCTGAAGAAATGGCAGAGCAAAAGGGATACAGTGTGTCAATAAATGATTATGGCACCTGGCAGCCATAATACAGTTACGTGCAAATTGCTAGAAACGTCAAGCAGAAGGAGCATCAAAGGGAAGGCTTTATACAAGAGGTGATATTTAAACTAAGGGTTGAAGAAGTAAAAATTGATGTTGCCAGGAGAGGAGAGGAGAGGGTTTTACATCTTAAGGCCTGCTGGTCTGAAAACACAGGACAATTTAGAAACCTTAAGTTCTTGGGAGAGATAGAAAATGAGGCTAATGAAAGTAGAAGAGGCTGGGTCCTGCGAATTTCCCTGTGCCAAGCTAAAAAGCTGATTTCATCCCTTGGATGATGGAGAAATCAATACCAGAAATACACACACACACACACACAGAGGTTTTTTTGTGTGTGTGTGTGATACACACACACACACACACTGGGCGAATGAATGAACATACTTGTGCTCTACCACAGACCTACACCACCAGCCCTTCTCACTCTATCTTTGGGCTGTGCTTACTTGTTATTCTTTTTCTTTTTTTTTTTTTCTTTTTCTTTTAGGACTAGGGATTGAACCCAGGAGTGCTTTATCATTGAGCCACATCCCAGGTCCTTTTTATTTTTTATTTTGCTAAGTTGCCAAGGCTGGCCTGGAATGAATTTATGATCCTCTTGCCTCAGCCTCCCAAATCCTTTGGATAACAGACGTGCGCCCCCACACCTAGCCTATTCTTTTTCCATTACCAGTCTTAACCCCTATTGCCCTACTCCTCCTTCAACAGGACTTCATTCCCAGTCTCTTAAGAGATAATCTTTTAGGAGATTCTCAACTTTCCCCATCATCTTGTGTCGCCGGTCCCCAGCTCGAAGCCCCGCCCCGTGGCCCCGCCCCCAATGACGCACGGCGCCTAGTGCGTGGGGATTCCCGCTGCCCTGGCCACTACCCGGCTTGCCCCGCGGCAAGATGGCGGCTTGAATGCAGCGGGCAGCGGCGGAAAGTTTGTTGTGGGATTAGACTAGACGGGCCGGGAGGCTAGAGTTGACGCGGGATAACCCAGGACCCCAGCATGGAGTAGTGACAGAAAAGGGACTAAATCCGGGCTGGGGAAGAGGAGATGGAATGGAGGAAGATTGGAGGTGGAGGAAAAAAAGGAGATAGGGCGGATGGGAGGGGGGCCTAGAGTCCAGAGGCAGCCCTAAGGGAGGGGTTTGGGGCAGAGGAGCCAGAAATACGTGTGGTTCAGGTCATGGGGAACAGAGTCAAGAACTGGAAGATAATTTCTTAATCGAGCGTAAAGAAGCCTGGAGCATGGGCTCGAGGCCTGACTGTACCAGGCCAGTGGGAGGAGAAAGATTTCTTCCTAGTAAAGGGGGAATAGTGCAGAAGGGTGGAAGAGAGTTCTTGAGAATGCTGGACAGTTTGCTAAGGAGGGAACTAAAGTCAGTCGAATGACCTTTTCCAGGCTTAGATCAGCCTTTCCACAGCTCCTGTAGCAGCATCTGCCCCAATTTCAGCTGAAGACTGAGGGTCCCCAGGGACTGGAAGAAATCACAGTGCCTGCTTGGAAAGAAGAAGAGGTAGGGACTTGCCCCAGCCCAATCCCAGAGCGGGTAAGGTGTCTTCCAGTGATAGTTTCTGGCTGATACACTCTCTGGGAGAGGATCCATGGGCTTGGAGTTATGCTGGGAATCATTTAATCTGAGAGGGTTGCTCTTCTATAGAGATTGTTCTTTGTGTGTGGTCCCTAAGTTAGTGTTTTGCTTAGATCACAGGTTGCCTTTTGAGAGTTGGTGTAGACTTGAGCCTGAGTGCCTTCATCTGTTCGAGGAAATCTGGACAAGGACCTAAAGAACGGGCTGAAAGTATTGTAACACATCCCTGTCACAAGCAGTTTCCTACACTAGCAGTTTCTTCTTCTGTTTTCCCACAATACCTTAAGTTTGACGTTCTGCCTGGAAATGATTTGTGGGTAATAGATGGTGGGGAGCAACTGATGTTGTTCACTGACCATTTAGATACCTGCTGTTGCCAGGTTCTGAATTCATTCTTCTTTTTTTTTTTTTTTAAACCAGGGATTGAACCCAGGGACACTTAACTACTGAGCCATATCCCCAGTCCCCTTTTTTTTTTTTTTGTATTTTATTTAGAGACAGGATCTTACTGAGTTGCTTAGGGCCTCCTTGCTAAGTTGCTGAGGCTGGCTTTGAACTCGTGATCCTCCTACTGCAGCCTCCTGAGCCGCTAGGGTTACAGGTGTGCCCCACCATGCCAGGCCTGAATTCATTCTTGCTCCATGTTACTTTTGCACTTGTGGTAAGAAGGGGTTATTTGTATTCCTTGGGAAGTGGATTGGTGGGAGTGTTGTTAGAGATGAGGGAAAGGCAGTTTGGGAGTAGAGAAAAGAAACCCAGATGAGCTTATGGTAAGGGGTCAAACTTCCACTGTGTCAAGTTCTGGGAATTTTATCACCTTGGTCTCTATCCCGAAATGCCTTGAGGTTTGCTTTACAGGTGGACCAGTGAAGTAAAGGAAGGAACGGATTGTGGGGCTTGCCCTTTCTAGTAGTTTTCCTTTTCTTTGTATTATTTCCATCAAATTAAAAAAAAAAAAAAGGAAAAGAAAAGAAAAAAATCAGTTTTACTAGCTGAAATAAACATGACCTGAGAAATACAGGATTTGGTGTTGGAGATTGGTGCCCTATTGTTATCTCATGGCTCGGGCTTTTTACTGGAGCCTGCTTCAGGACCAGCTTCTGCTTCACAATTGGTCTGGTTTGATCTAGAACTCCTCACTAACTATCTCTTGCTCTCTGCACAGCCCACTCTCCACCAAAGTTTTATTCAGAACACCACAAATCGCAATTACTAAGCCAACTTCAAAACCTTTAGGTATATGCAGAACTGATGATAGTTACTTGCACTTCCACTTCTAAAAACTGAGAACCTTCTTTTTATGAAGGCAATTGTAGATGCCTCCTTGGAAATTGTAATCAGCCAGAACAGTGTGGTGAAGATTTAAAGAGAACTGTCTCTAGAACCAGAGTGTGCAGTTCAAATTCTAATAGCAATTTTAAGCTATATATCCTTTATTAATTGCATAGTTCTCTGTGCTTCAGATTCTCACTGATCAATGTGGAGGGTAAGAGTACCTACCTCATTGGTCATTGTGAGCATTAAACAAGTGAATGCATTAGTGTATCAGTGCCTGATACTTTATGAGCATTAATTGTTATGATAGTCAGAATTAAACCCTAATTTTTACTTCATGGTTGAACCTGCTGTCTCTGTGGAGGATCTTTACTGGTTTGGGCTGCTAACCTGATGTTAGAGAGATGAGGCACAGCTTTTGGATAGTATAGATTTTTTTTTTTTTGTGTGTGTGTGTAGTGAGAATATTCTTTTTTTTTTTTCTGAGAATTTTAATATTTATTTTTTTTAGTTTTTCGGCGGACACAACATCTTTGTTTGTATGTGGTGCTGAGGATCAAACCCGGGCCGCACGCATGCCAGGCGAGCGCACTACCGCTTGAGCCACATCCCCAGCCCGAGAATATTCTTATTAAGTTATTTAAAGTGATGTTAAAATGACAGTGACTTCCTGTTTGAAACTGTGAGGCTGTAGAATTGTTTTTTGTAGCTGAGCGATAATAATGGTGCTTATCAAGCACATTCTGTGTGTCTGGCACTATTGTGAACACTTTACATGTCTTAACGAATTTTTATAAATCATACTAAGTGGATACTGTTATCTCTATCTTACAGATGAGAAAATGGAGGCACAGAGTAATTAAGGAATTTGCTCAAGGTTACCCAGTTAATGAGTGGCAGAGCTGAGATTTGAACCCAGGCAATTTGGCTGTAACAATTGAACTATTTATTTATTTATTTAGATTGGTATGATATTATCTTTTTTTTTTTTTTGGTACAGGGAATTGAACCTTGGACCCAGGGGCACTTAACCATTGAGCTACATCCAAGGCCTTTTTTTTTTTTTGAATCAGGGTCTCACTGAGTTGCTGAGGCTGGCTTTGAATTTTTTTTTTTTTTTAAAGAGAGAGAGAATTTTTTAATATTTATTTTTTAGTTTTCTGCGGACACAACATCTTTGTTTGTATGTGGTGCTGAGGATTGAACCTGGGCCGCACGCATGCCAGGCGAGCGCTCTACTGCTTGAGCCACATCCCCAGCCCCTGGCTTTGAATTTTTAATCCTCCTGCCTCATCCTCCAGAGTTGCTGGGATTACAGGAGTGCCCAACAGTGCCAGGCTACATTTTTTTTTTTTTTTTTTTTTGAGATGGGGTCTTGCTATGATGCTGAGCTAGCCAATAACTCTTGGGTTAAACATCCTCCTACTGGGACTATGGGCAACCTGCTTAGTGAAGTTGACTTTTAAGTATGCCTAATGCCAATTTGTATTTTTTTTTGTTTTTGTTTTTGTTTCATTATATCCTGGTTCCTCTTTGACTGTATTGATGGTTAGATGTATAACTATATTATAGTGAAATTTTTTTTTTGGTTAATTTAAAATTTTGTGGGGGGAAAGTCCAAGTTCTTCATCATAGCCATCTTGTTCTCAGAAATAATAACTGGTGCAGGGACAGTGGCTCTGCTGTGTTAGCCAAATCTGGGCTCTCTGTTCATGATTCAACTTGGTGACTGCCCTTTGGAAAACCTTGGGCTGGGTTGAGCAACAGACTCAAATCCACTCTAAATTGCCTTTAAGGAGGCCGGGTGGGGGTGTCTGTGATAAGATAGATGTGAACATAGGCTTATTTTTGACTGATTACTGATAAGAGCAGTTCTATAGTATTAAATTCACAGACAGTCTGGATATAGTCTTTCTTTTAAAAATAGCAAATAGCAACCTACACAGGAGAAAAAAAGGAGGCATTTTAAACAGCTTCTTCCATTCAGCATAAGGTGAAATGGAAAACAGATGTGTTTCTGCTGAAGCCTATGTTATCTGATAATGGCCCTGGTTGTGCTCAAGTCTCTTTCCCTTTAGCAAGGCGGAGGCTGCATGCAAACTGGGGGCAGAGGTGTGCCAGGGTTTGATTGACTGGTTTTCATTTGCCCTGTATTTAAGACTGGTTCTTCTGAGTCATGTTCTGTCTACTTAACATGCCCTCAGGCCCATCTTTTTCTTCAATAAATGACTCTCTACCCTGCTATCAGAGTAGGCATGTTTCTGGTTGTCTTAACCTGATTTCAAGGGAGTTGGGGGCCTAGGACTTTGGGATTTTCCTGGGAACTCTGGCCCAGCCTTCTAGTAAATTTTTCTATTTGTTGTGGTATCTTGTTGGTCTTGCTCCCTTTCTCTGTTAACTTAGAAACCATGCATCCCAGAATAATGTCCTGCAGTCAGCATACTGAAATGTGTTATCTTCCTAGAGTATAACTGTGTGTTTTAGTAGGTGTCTTCAGACTTTCTGGACTTGGGTCACATTTTAGCAAATAATTGAATTACAGGATGGGGACTGATGGATTTTGAGCCACTTGTCCCCTTATACCATTTTTGTTTTTGTGTAAATCAATTTCTTCTCATAGTGCCCCTCATTCAGGCATTATCTTTGAATCTGATTCCTTCACTTCTTCCTTGGAACTGTATTTGAAGTGCCAAGGATCTCTGCAGCTGAGCCTTCATTTCTTACATGGATCCATCCTCTTAACAGCTCTCTGAACTTTGCTTGTTATTTCTAGTTTCTGGGCCCTTGCACACATAGGTGCTACTGTCTGCATTTCCTGACCTCTAATCTCTGTTACCTTCCTTTTTTTGTCATTTAGGTCTCAGTTTAAAATGTGTCTTCCTGTTATGGTTCCGATATGAGGTGTACCCCCAAATCTCTTGTTAATGCAGGAATATTCAGAGGTAAGATGTTTGAATTGTGAGAACTGTAACCTAATCAGCCCATCCTAGTTTGAATGGGCTGTCTGGGTGATAACTGTAGGCAGATGGGTATGGCTGGCAAAGGTGGGTTACTGGAGGGGTGCCCTGGAAGGGTACATCTGTCCTATGGCCCCTTCCCCTCTCCCTGCTTCTTTGCTGCCATGAGAGAAGCAACTTCCCTCTGCTCTGCCCTTCCCCTGTGATGTGCTGCCTCCTCTTGGGCCCAGAGCAATGGAGTCAGACATCTGTGGACTGAGGCTTCTGAAATTGTGAGCCCCAAATAAAATTTCCCCCCTCTTAAGTTGTTCTTTTCAGGTCAGGAACAATTTTGGTCAGCAACACAAAAGCTGACTAAAACATTTTCTTTAGTACCCAACCTACCTTTAAGGCTCCTCTTCTGTACTTGCTTCTAATACTGCTATATCTTATTTGCCTGTTTACTTGTCTGACTCTCACAAGACTGTAAGTGCCCTTAGAACAGAGACTGTGACTCATTTACTACTGTATTTCTAGCATTTAGGATGATGCTGGGCATTTAATAGGTACTTTATAATATTGTGGTACATACAGAATGATTGAAATGTGGTGGGCATTCTTTTCCCCCTCCAATCTGTCTTTCATGCTGCTGTCAAAATTACTTTCCTGGCCGGGCGCAGTGGCAAATGCCTGTAATCCCAGCAGCTCAGGAGT